AGTAATGACGTTATTATACAATCTATTGGAATAGATTAAAACTGCCGAGTTTTTGTTATCATACGTCTCATAACTTTGCGTTACATAAAATCCGAATAAAAACAAACTACCAAATAAAGAACATAAAGGCCGAAGGAATGAACTTTCAAATTTTATTCTTCGCGTTTGTTGGTATTGTTATTGTGGGCTCGAGTAGCTAAGAAAAGCAATTACAATTACGAAAGCTGATGAAAATAGATTCAGCTTTTAATGTCATCCCTTTTAAAAAAGCGCCTGAGGCTTCATTGTGGATAATTAATTGTTGTACGAAACAAACACAAAAGATATAATTTGTCGACGACGTCCTCCCTACCAAAACCGGTACTTCTTTTCTACACATTCCAAAAAGGTGACTTCAGAATCACAAGCGGAACAAAATATTATAACGGTGTTAGCTTTTATACCTAACGAAGATTGGGGAAATTAAATAAAATAGTAGAAATTACAATTGAAATAATAAAAAATAACAGTGACTTTCTCTCGGGATTACATGTCACGTAGCTTACTTGCTTTAAAGGTGAATTCCATGATTGAACACATGATTCCGCGTACGACCGACTTTGTTACTGCCATTTATAGTTGCTAACACAAGTACTGCACAATGATATTGAATTAATGTTTTTTTTAAAGTGGCTGCATAATATGAGTGAGTATGTGAGATGTGCGTGTGAAGTACTGGACCGAGGCAGCGCTCGGCACCTGACATCGGGTGGCTCATTAGAGCGCACCAGTAAGCACGGGGAGTGCTGTTGCTATTGTTGTCCGTCCCCAGGGGTGGTCAGCTCTCGCCCTACTTATACACTTACAATGTAGATGGTTAATTAAATTTTATTGAAAGAAAAATATCTCTCAATAAATATAAAGACACAGTTCGATAAGAGGTCGGTAAAAAACATTAATTCAATGGTCTGCTTAGTTTTTTATGTACCTATATGATATATATGTATACTGTAAAGTTTTGTGGACGCTATAAAAGAAAACCACTTAGCAGTTTCAATTGGGACACGATGACACTTCACTGAACGTGAAACGGGATAACGTGATAAACTACAGCTTGACGACTTGATCAGTTTCTATTCAAAGCTACTTTCTAAGTTTCACCATGGAGGAAATTGATCGTAGGCAGTTTAAGGTAAATAAATCCTAAGCAGAAAGGTTTTAACGACGTCAGCACTAATCATGCATTAAGGCGAAGCATGATATAAATAGGACTTAAATTAGTTACAGGCGTTAAATCACGAAAGCATTGACATCTCGCGCTTTGATCGAGACTACATTTCAAATCTCGCTGCCAATAGGGTCGTAATCAAACAATAAATACCAAATTACGACGACTAAGCATGATTGTAGTGAAACGAAAATAAGTGTGAGACATTTGAACATATTAAGGACTATCCACACACATCAGGGCCGTGCCCGGGACGTGGACGGGGCGTGCTAGTTTGTATGAACTGTGGGCCCGTCCCGGCGCCGGCCCGGACACGGACATGTGTGAACGAATTCATACAAAATATACGCAGCGATATTTTTTGAGCCCCTGACGGAGCACGGCCCGTCCACGTCCCGGATATTTGTGGATAGACTTTTATTCCAACATACCATATCCGTGTACAATAGGCTGAAGCTCACTGATCCGCACGCGTCTGGCGCCGGACCTCGGCAACGTGTAATTTCCAGAAGTTGGCAGAATCACTTGCTGCGGTGACTGGTGCGGCAGAGTACTGTACCCTTGTTCGTTATATTCAAAAGGTGGCAGGCGATTCCCAGGCACATACTGCGACGGTCTAATATAAGAACTGGGCGGCTCATTATAATCAATATATGGACTATTTCTACCTCCTGCATAGTAACCATTTTGTCTATCTTGTTCGTAGTGACTTAAATTTTGTAGACTCTGTGCTGGGACTGGATGGTACTGATTAGATGGTCGTCGATATTTGTCAAGAACATCGAAATAAGGTCTGCTGTAAGGTGCTGCATATCTGTTGATGGCAAAAAATTCGTTGACGGGCAGACCGGTACTGTTCATGCTCGTATTACTGCGGTTGCTTCTTGTGCTACTCCGGAGACCGTTCCGACTCAGTGAGCCATCACCGCGGACGCTCAATTTCAATTCCAGCCTTTTGTCTTTCATTGTATTTTTACACTGTACTTTTAATTAAGTCGTATTCCATTACACCACTTATGTTCTCACAGAATATCATGTCATGACATTTGACATTTGTAACACTGCAGTAGAAAGTCTTCTTATCTTCACAAATTAATTATAGCTTATGGGCCTTGTTACACAACAAAGTAATGCATCATGCTAAAGAAAGTAGATGACGGTTAGATCGTTGTTTGCGAGGGATGAGTAATGATCATTTATATATTACTAATCGACCACAAGTTCGAGAACAAGCATAGTGTCGTACCCTGTAGACTGAAGATGGATAGATCGAACAAAACAACTTGACGCCTTTTGTACCTCTACCATGAGTTTACAGTCTTGAAAGCGCTAGCGACTGTG